TAGCCCAAAAGGTTTTTCCAGGTTGCTTTCTTAGGAAAAGAGATTAGTATAACGAAATGCTACGACTGGTACAAGGTTGTTTAATTACAGAGGCCTCTGGGCATAGGTATCACATGGCAAAGCAGATCCACCCCAAGAGTTCCTCAACTTGAACGCAGTTGGAGCAGGTACTCCAACTATAAAGCATACGGCTTTATAGCACCACACAAAACTGTGTAAATATTACTTCGGTTACTATCCTAAATGGAGCTCAAATGTGGGGAAGAGGGAGGACTTAGGCATACAGCAACAACAAGAGAGTGGGGAAAGATAAGTTTCTGCACTAGACGATAGGAAGGATGAGGGTAGGCATTCTGGCTGGCACTATCTCTGACAGACTGTTGTTTCATTTTGCCTAACTAGCTATAGCTTCCTTTCACAGCTGGCTAAATAGAAACAAGATAAAAATCTATTCTAGACATTATGACACTATTAATAGCTGATACAAGAATGTATGATTCTGTAAGAACACCACCATAGATATTAGGGCAATTCAAGACTCTCTGAAATCAGTAAGCAAATGTTATTCGCAGATCTGTTAGAGAGACATGCAAAGCTGTTTCCAGATACCAGATTAATAGAAGTATCTGTTAAACTGAACAGTTGCATCCATTCGTCACTGCATACAACACAACCGTGAAACCAGAGAGGGTATGATTTTCCTGAAGCCAAACACAGCAGCCAGCAGAGAGATCCAACTGAGCAGAATCCTGTTATTTGATAGAGGTCCTGCAAAAGGGCAGCAGGGAAGCTCTCTGCAAAGGGGGAGGACCCCAGGAGCAAATACAAGCCATTTGTAACTGATCTCACCACAAAAACAGAGCCTAAATGAATATAAGTGGTGACTACAAACTTTAAAAAAAAACCCCAACAAACTAAATTACCCACCTAAGGGGATGTTAGGTCAAATTTAGGCACACTAAAACCAGCATATAAAAACTAATCTATCTCTGCGTAACTGTCACCTAAAAAGTTGAATTCCTCAAATGCCTTCTCCTGTGTGGCTTTAAAGTTCCCCAGACACTCAAATTTGTACCCCAGAAATATCATGGCAGGGCTGAGCATCTAGGCTTCTAGCTCCCACATAAACTTGTTCAGGACCCAGAAACTGCAAAGTTCACTCAGGGATGAGATACAAAGAGCTTTCTGGAAATGATTCATCCATTAATCTACTAATGGAATATGATCACCACCACTTCTGAAGAAACTAAAACCTTGTGAGAGACCAAATAATACTGTGTTCATAACCTAATAGTGAGGGGTGAGAAATGGTCCCTGCCTTACAGAATCTGCCTATATTTTGGAGGCTAATGAAAATGAGTGTTAGTCTCCACAGAATTGTATTAAGTAGTAGACAGAGTAGAAAGGAAAATGGCACTACATCCCAATGCTTCTAACACATGTTGAAAAACATGCCCTGAGAACACAGCCAGGTGATCAAATGTCCTCAGCTACAACTCTCTGCTCCAAAGGGGAGGTAACCTTTACCCAGTAGCTCCTGCTGCAGAGCTGACTGCCTCTCAGTGAGGACCTGCACAAATCCTCCTACAGCAAGACACAGCACTCAGAGCTGGCCTGTGTACCACCAGCACAGCCATCCAGTTTCACAGGGTAGGTGTGAAGCGCCTGCTGTTCAGGGCACCGTATTAGCAGCATGTCTGTTGGATTGCGTGTGATGTTCTACAGCAAGAGGAGGTCAGTCACAAAACATGTAACACAGATGATGGTTTACTACAAATATATCTTGTAATGAGATGCATCAGAAAAACTTAGTACTAATAAAGAAGTGGCACAAGGGCTGGGTAAAATATGCAAAGCTCTTCCCCCTTTGGCCTTCAGAGATAATAAAAAGATGCCCCAGCACACCTCATCACTGAGACAACAGGACATGAACACTATTACACAAGCCCAAGTATCAGCAATTCCCTTTCTAGACACACTGCATGACTGAGCCTTTCCTCACCAGGTTCCCCATAACCTTTCATTTTAGAGGAGTTTTTCACCTTCTTAAAGGGACCTACTAATGTTAACTGGACCAATAAAAGCCAATTACTCTGCTCTGAGCCCCTTGATGTGTGTCTTTCTTCTCTCCTATGAGGTGGCTACATTATAAAAACTGGATAAGGCACTTGAGGGTAGGTTTGGGGTATTGGTTTCATTAGGGTGATGGCGGTGGTAAGTACTCCCTTTGTGGGATTGAGGTTATTTGTACTTACAACTGTGTCTGAAGTTGCTTTGGGGTTGTTCCTGGTGTTCCTAAATTAGTTTAAAATTTTCTCTTTAAATATCAGGGGGCAGGTTGTGCTTGGTAGAAGCTTCTTAACTAGCATAGGATGATCTGGGGCTAGTTTCATGTACCCTACCTGACATGATCTGTTTAGTAAATATACATCCTTGCGTTAGCTTAACCTTTGGTGTTAGGCTGCCTTGCCTAACCTCCCAGCTGCAAGGAGCCATGAGTAGCTGAAAGCATGCAGACAAGGCAAGCCGTTGGGGAAGCTTGTGTGGGAAGCAGGGAATTTCTGGGCAGGGATTATCTCCACCTGATACGAGGCCTTTCTGTTCCGCTTCCTAGCCCTTCTGTGGACAGAAATCAGGGAGAAGAAAAAAAACAGGTTTTCTCCTCCTACATCTGAAATGCTGTCCCCAGAGGGTCTGTAACCCGCAGTTTGGCTTCTCTTCCCTGTAGGAAAAAACCTGAAATGGATGCTTGCTGTAAGCATTTTGGACAGAAATATTTTTTTTAAATGGCAAGATGAATGAAATCTTAACTTCTACAAGCTTCTTTAAAATCTTGTGATTTACTTTTAAACTGTAAAAAACTAAATCCAAACTCTCTTATCTTTTTGCTCACTGAAGGGAAGCATAAACAATTATGCTTCAAATAGACAGAGGCACCAGACGGTTACATAAAAACAAACCACCAGATTCCTGCATGTAGGAGTGTCTGCTCTCAGTTCGGTCCTGCCTCACTCTGTGTGTGCCTGGAAGTAGGTCTCCCTGAAGCAGTAGCAGCTAGGGCAAAATGCCCAAACTGAAGCACTAGTGTTGAAGGCATTGATGACGTGGCCTTAGGCTTCCTGGAGGCTGGAGCAAAAGGTCCTTTGTAAGCAGGACACCAAGTATTTGGGGTCAGCTTTAGGAGCAGAAGAGACACAAAGTTTTAAATCCTTACTATTTCAGTGAACAGCTGGAAAGACCTTGAAGGGAAGCTCTAGGGATCAGCACATACTCTCCTATCTTGGCACTCTATTTTTCTTGTTGCAGATCTGAAGAAAGTGGGAAAGTTATGGTAAGGAGAGTATCCTCATGAAAACTTTATGCCCTCAGCTCTATTTCCTGCTAAATGTCTGTCTGTAAGAGTACTCATCATGCTTAGGACCCTTTGATATCAGAGAAATTCATACATGAACGTCTACTAAGTGGTAGTTTTGTGATTAGATTGATAAATTGTATGGCAGATTTCGTTTTACCTCTAAAGAGGTATTCAGCCATTGAAGGGCCAGAGTTTCTCCCTGAGCATATTGCATACTCACAGATGAATGGGGTATTTCACAGATAACAGAGATCTATGGTGTTCTGGAAGAGTACAGTGGATTCCTACCTTTTTGGAATTGAAGGAGGTGGATCAACTGAGGTTAAATATCTAGGCTGCTTTATTCTTAAGTAGAAATAATGATGCTGTATTGAAAATGGCATGTGGGGCTTCATTTCAGGGAAATACAGGCAGGGATTCGAAGTGCCCAAGCTGAGGACATCTGCCCTGCATTAATTAAATGTTACAGTTGGAACCAACTTCACGATGAACAGATTTTACTCAATAGTGTGTTAAATATCCAGTGAGACGAATGGGTCTGAGGCAGGGCTGCCCTTGCTAATCCTGTGTCTCTTGCATAAGACAGAGGCAAAAATAAATACCAGTGCAGTCGTGTGGAGCTGTTGGCCATGCCGGCACTTCCCCACCCCCAGCATCATGAAGAGTAAATGCGACTTCATCCTCGGTCAAATGGCACTGGGCAGCCTCATGTCTTTGCTAATACAGTGTAGCAGCTCCTCATCCCGAGACCGGATGTAATCTCCTTCAGGCTGCTTCTGAGATACTTTGTGCACTAAGTCAATTAACTTTACTGAGGAAGGCCAGAACTTCCCCAGTAAAGTTAAAAGTGAATCTACATCAAGCCACGTAGAGGGGTAGACGGAGCAAGGCTAGGTACAAGGAATGGCACCCGGCAATAAACAACCCCTCACAAATGCCTCGGGTCGCTCGATGCCTGCAGCCAGCCACCCCTCCCACCGCGGATCCCAGCAGACAGCCGGTTCTCTCCCCTTCCTGGGCGTGGCGAGGCCGGTCTGGGGGAGGCGAGTGGTGGGTCGGCAGGAGCGGCTGGCTGAGGTCCAGCACTGCGGCCTGCGGGCAGGGCGGCGGCCCCTTGGGCCGCTGCTTCGGCTGGCAGCCCCCTGCAGTTACGCGCGCTTTTTATTCTGTTTATTTCATTTCCATCAGACTCCAGCTCTCAGAGGGCAAGACCCGCTGCCGGAGACTCGTGAGGGGACTCCCCCGCCCCGCACGCTCGAAAGCTCCGCCCCTAACCCCTCGATCGCGGGCGGGCGGCCGGCTTCTCCGCGTGACTGCCCCACGAAAACCCAGACAGCACCGCCGCAGCGGCAAAGCGTCCTATGTCGGGACCTGCAGGGTCTGTGCCTCCATCTCCCCGAAGTAACGGCGAAGGAGGGCCGGAGTGGAGGGAGGCGCTGAGAAGCGAACCTCGACATTCCCTCATACCCACCCCCCGGGAATCAAGCCACCTCACTTCCCGAGACGCCTGTCCCTTTAAATAGAGGCAGGGCCTTTGGCGCACTCCGCACCACCAGACTGGCACCACCCCGCCTCCCCATTGGTTGTCGCTGGGGAGAGCGACCCGCCCCTGCTCGCAGCGATTGGCTAGGGGCGAGGCTGTAGTACCCGGATGCAGGGACGCTCGGCTGTTATAAAGAGCCGGGGGAAGGCGGGAGCGGGCGCAGTTTGAATCGCGGCGGGTTGGGGTAGGTCCCTGTTGCCGCTCGGGCTCCGTCAGTGCGGGACGCTCTCGTCTTCCATCAGCCCCTGCGCGGCGCTGCCCTCCGGTTCGCGATGGTGAGGAGCCGTGGGGCCACCCGAGCGGGCCGCGCTAGTCTGGGGGGGGAAGGTAGAGGGAGGCACAGGGATCAAGGTCCATTGCGCCCTTGGGTGTGAGATGGGAGTGCGCGCGACGGAGGGGAGCGCGGGCGGGAGCGGAGGAGGCGAAAGTGGGGGTCTCGCGCGGTGGTGGCGCCGGGGAGAGGGAGTGGCGGCTGCGCATGCGCTCGGGGAGCTGTCTGTGCCGCTAGGTGTAGCGGGCGGTGCGCAGGCGCCTTGGTGGCGCGCGTGCCTCCCCGCGGTGGAGAAAGGCGGAGAGGGAGGAGGAAGGGCGCGCATGCGCGGTAAGGCGCTGCCGTGGTGCCTTCAGGTATGGTTCCTCGGGGGGGAGTGGGGGTGGTGGGTTTGGCGCAGCCGTTTTTACAGGCCTCTTCTCATTGTCAGGCTGGTGGTAAAGCTGGGAAGGACTCTGGAAAGACCAAGACCAAAGCAGTGTCCCGTTCTCAGCGGGCTGGACTGCAGGTAAGCAGGGACTGGGGCATGCATTAGGGAAAGTCAGGTCGGCCTCCCATGTGTTGGTTAGTTGTACCTTGTGAGATTTCTGGAGTCTGCTGTCTCTTGGTTGTTCATAATGGCGTGAGGGTCTGTTTAATCCTTGAGGTTGATGTCTGGCTTGGCTTATTTTTAGACCTTCTGCAGATCTGTGCAGGAGGGAAGGAAACTCCTTTGTGGCTGTTACTGTTAGTGGTTAGAATTGTGATGTAAACTTGGCATAGTGTGTCCTAAGTTGGATTCTCAAGTGATGAAATGTAGCCTGTACTTCTGCTACTGGGCTTCTGTTGCCCAGCATGTGGTTTTCTTTTTCTGTCTCCTTCGTCATAGCCTTTTCATACTTCTGTTATTTTTCCAGTTCCCTGTTGGCCGCATCCATAGGCATCTGAAGTCTAGGACTACCAGCCATGGACGTGTAGGAGCCACAGCTGCTGTGTACAGTGCTGCAATCCTGGAGTACTTGACAGCTGAGGTAAGGCTCCTGCAGGGGATGCAAGCAAGTTGGTCAACTCCAAAATGGCATAATGGTCAGAGCCTGCTGTGGTGTTTGGCCAGTTAGGACTGGGCTGTGAACTCCTTGCTTTAAGCCAGTTTTAAGTGGATGCATTTAAACCTTGTGCTGCATTTCTTGCAGCTCAAATCACTGACTTACAGGAAAGATGGAAGGGTGAAGTATTTAAAAAATTGTGCCAGTATACTTGTGTCTGCTGTAAAACTTACTCTGTTCTTGAAGAACTAAACGCAGAGCTCCAAAGGAGGAACGCTTTCAAAAGAGGCATTGTCTGCCATCTTGGTTGTGTTGCTAGTGTACTTGGCACAGAGAGTAAAATAGCAAAGGCCATGCAGTTGGTCTCACTTTGGTTTGTGTAACTCAGTTTAAAGATATCTTGTTCTTAGGTTCTGGAGCTGGCAGGAAATGCATCCAAAGACTTGAAGGTAAAACGTATCACTCCCCGACACTTGCAGCTTGCGATTAGAGGAGATGAGGAATTGGATTCTCTCATTAAGGCAACAATTGCTGGTGGTGGTATGTAGATTTCTTGCTGTTTGTGATGGGTTGGGTGGCAAGACCCTTATCAACCTAGAGGTTGATTAATGCTGTTGCTTGCTTTGAAGAGCAGAGTTTAGGAAAACTAAGAAATAACATGGTCTCAATTGTTGCTGTTTCTTAGGTGTAATACCGCATATCCATAAGTCTCTCATTGGAAAGAAAGGACAACAGAAAACTGTCTGAAGGATACCAGGATTCCTTGTTATCTCAGGACTGTTAAGTACTTAATTGTCCAGTGTTGGTGATTCCAGTGGACTGTATCTGTGAAACACAATTTTGCCTTTTTGTAACTTTGAGAACTGAAGCTCCCTTGAGCTCTCTAACAAACCAAATTTCTGCATTGAAGTCTTAACCATATTTAAGTGTTACCATGGCTTCAAAGAAGCTATTGTATTTGTAGTGAGTTCTGATTGAGCTGACTGGTTAATAGATTGGTTTAAGTAAAGGAAATGTTTGGTTTTGTACAGACTTTTCATCCACTAGAGTGGAAATATTCAATAAATGTTATGTCAAGACTGACTGTCTCTTGTCCATTAACTGAAAAATACTTGGTCTCTACTACACAGCTCTGAGTTGTTCCAAGAACGTGCAACTCTGGTGGTCCTGGCAGCTGTCCTTTGGGTGTGGAAACAGTCCTGGAATGTTGCACTTGGGAAATACCATCCAGTGGAAGGCATACAGGTTTCATCCTGCCAGGTTACACTCTTGCCAGCTGAGCCTGCTGTGCAGAGTGGTGACAGGTGCCTTTAGTAGGGCAGATGTCAGGTTGATGCTACTTCAAGGCCAGTTTTACTTGATGCCAGCCTTCATAGAGTGAAGGGCTTTGTCATGGAGGGGGGAGGAAGGTAAGCTGGATGGATGGTGGAAATCCCCAACTTCAGCTGATTTTCCTTATGGTAGATCTGGATTTCTCTCACTATTGCTTGTAGAAAACCATACACATAGGTAAAAGCACAGGCTGTACTGCAGCAGCCTTTCCTGGCTCGTGTAAACTTGGAGGCAGAGCCCAAAACCTGCTCCAAGGTAGCAGTCAAATAGCTCTGTCCTGGTGGCATTTCCCACAGGTCAGCTTTACCTCTGCTGCAGTCCGAACTGGAAAGCACATGGTTGTTGTTTGGAACATCTTACAGTGGTGAGGGTTTAAACTATGGGGCTGGAGTTTTAAGGATGGTGTGTTCAAGTTACGGTTTCTGCTATAGAGTAGCATCCATCATAGCAGTGGAATAAAGGGGGGCTAGTCACATCTGTAGGTTCTCCAGCTCTCTCTCAATCCATTTCACCCAGAGAGGGTCTGCCTGTAACTGCAGTGGGGAAAACCCCATCCCTTTTGTGGGGCAAGAGGTGCTGTAGAGAACAGTTCCTGTGCCTGAGGGCAGCAAGCTGTCTGCTTTCCACAACTGCTCTTCCAGCAGTAAAATACTTAAGGGTGCTAAACAGGCTCTATTGCTTCCCTAACCCCTTTCAAGTAATACTCTGTGCTGCAGCACTGTAGCTGGAAGGTGTTGACCTAGATTGCAGGTCTTGGTTAGACATACATTAGCTGCATTTGTTCCCTGGAGCTGTGGTGCTTCACTGGAGCAGCACTCGAGTGCTTTCATTGCAGCAAGGAAGCCCTCGGCAGGGTGTGATTGATTTCACTAATAATAGGCAGCTGTTACAAGGTGCTAGCCGGCCCCTTTAAGCACAGGTAATTAAGGAACTACAACTCGCGGGCTCCACAAAGGCTGCCGCAGGCCAGCGGTGCGGTGCTCCCTAGGCCGCAGTGCAGCGGTAGTCCACGGCCACCCGCCCGGTACTTTTCCATCCTAGACGGCCCCCGCAGGCTGCGGCCGGAGGGCAGTAGGGCCCCGCAGGCGTGCGGATGGGCGACAGGGATCCCGATAGGGATGCGCCTGCCGCTGGCTGCAGCGTAGATCCTCCCCCAGGGCTGCTGCCGGGTCCCGGGGCTGGCGGTGGGACGGGCGGGGCTCCCCCGGGCCCGCGAGGCGGCGCATGCGCGGCGGCTTCCCGGAAGCAGGCGCAGGCCGGGCTGGCTGCCGGGGCCGAGCGGCGCGCTGGGGCTGCGGGTACCGCCGGCGCGGAGCTGCGCGGCGGGATGAGCCTTGCGGAGTGAGGGGAGTCCCTGCCCGCACTCCTGCCCTCTCCGCTCCTCTCTTCTCTGCTCCGCCCGGCTCCGCTCTGGCTTCGGGCCCCTTCTCTCTGCGCTGCGGCGGGCGGAGGCGGCGGAAGGAAAAGCCCATGGAGGGGAACCGGGACGAGGCCGAGAAGTGCATCGGGATCGCGCGGGAGGCGCTGGAGGCCGGCAACCGTGACCGCGCTCTCCGCTTCCTCGGCAAGGCCCAGAAGCTGTACCCGACTGAGACGGCCCGAGGTGAAGCTCGGCCCTGTTTCCGCGGCCGCCCCTCCTCCCCTCTCCCGCTGCCCTGTTCTATCGGGAGGAGGGGGAACTGCAGGGACGGCGGGAGGAAGGGGGATGGAGGACGTCTCCTCACCCTGGGGAGCCGTTAGCCTGCGCGGGAGCCACCTAAGGATGAGGAGAGGGGATCCCTCACGCGCTTCCTCTGTGCGGGGCTGGCGCTGCCCCCAGAGCAGCCCGGGCTGGGGGGTCAGGCGTGGGGAAAAAGGCTAAAGCGATGCTTAACGTGCCCAGCAGGAGCGCTCAGGGCAGGTGGATTTCCACCGCTGATGCGCGGCTCTGGCGTAAGGCGGTGGGGGGGGACTGGGGCTAGCTCTCTCCTCGCCAAAAGGGCTCGTTCTGGGCCTGCCCAAGCCCTCGCATGCATTCCCCTCTCCCTTTGGCCATCAGTATTAGCATAGCCACGTAGACTGCTTAAATCCAATGAACAGCAGGACAGCTCAGGCCCCAGTCCGAGAAAGGCTAGGCTGGCTTCTCTTCTGTCACTGTGAATTACCCCTAGCTAACGGCTTGCAGTAAGAACTGCAGCTCCAGACTGGGCATGTCTTCAGCCTCTCGTTCACTTGTGGTTTCGTTTCTCTCGCTGTACAGTAGCTACCTAGGAATTGTGCACACATTCAACTTTCCTAGAGAAAATGAGATAGGTGGCTCCCCCTATGACTTCATTGGCTCTTCAGGCCTTTCTGTGCTGAAACTTAACACGTAATTATCTGTCTAGCAAAAGGTTTTTAGAAATTATTTTTTAAAAGGAACAATAGCAGGATTTCAGTGTATACAAAGCTGTTACTTGTCTTGGAGTTTTTCTGTCACATAGTGTCAGAAGTCAGCTCGAAAGTCGTTTGAATGCAGCAGTGACTTGTTGCGTTCCTCTGGTTCTCATTGTCTGTGCCATGGAAGGAACAGGAAAGACTCATTGCTCTGTAATGACTTAAAGGCCTCAGCATTTACCATTTTTGGAACATGTCTTTGAGGTGAAATTCTGTCTGGAAGTGTTCTTTGCTGTATTTTATTCTGTAGTAGAGCCTTTAAGTCAGGTGAGCAGATTCAGTGGACTTTTTCTACTTTTTCTACTTCTATGGAGACAATAAACAAAGGTGTCATCAGTGCTTTTGTTTTTTTATAGTATACTTTTTTGGGGTGTCTTTATGTTTTCTCTCCTGCAAGACAGGAAGGATGTTGCTGGTAAATCACCTGGAAGAAGGTAACCATTCCTTTAGATCAAGACCATAGTACTGTTTATGTTCTTGTCACATTACATACCTCTCTGAAAGAAGACCAAGCAGAAGTTTGCTAAATTCCTCTAAATTTCTGCTGCTTGAGAAGATGATACGCATGAAAATAGTTCCAGCTTTTTGGAAGCAGCAGGCGGGAAGGCTGAGGTTTTCAGTCCAGCTTCTTCCACCAAAGACAGCGAATACTTCGTTTGCTTCACGTAGCTTATTACCATTTTATACCTCCAAGATAAGAGTTACAATAGCTTTTAGGAAAAAGAAGAAAATTCCAAGTGATTTGTTTTGAGTGTTTGGGTTTGTTGGTTTTGTGGGTTTTTTTGCCTTTTAAATGGGGCTGCTTCTACATAACCACTATTGTAAAGTATTCAGTGTAAGAAATAGATGGCTAATTAGGCTATTGTCTGTAGGACACTTGTTTTATTCACTGTGGAAATTAGCAAAGTGTGTCACAAATGAGGTGTATGTCTGGTGAGAAGATGGCCTTGTGTTTAAGGTAGTGGACTATAATCTGAGGAACTATGTACTGAAACTAGATGCTTCACAGTATTTCTCTGATGTTAAGTCACTTCACTCAGTTTCCATTAGTGATGTCTAATTGTTTGTGCTTCATTTTTCAGATACTCAGCTTGAAACAAGGGCCTGGTTTGTGGAACTGATGGGCAGTTAAAGCTCCATCTGAAGCTAGTGAGAATTGCAGATGCTCTAATACCACTGAAAAAAATAACCAAAAAAGCAGGCCCTAGGCCTGATTTGAACTAGGTACTTAGAAATTAGGGGTGCTTCAGTTTTCTAGCTCTGGAGGTTGATAGTTCTTTTCAGCTGATCCCGTTTCCTCCCAGAACAGCACCAACTCATTGATTCTCCACCCCCAAGTTCTCCAGACACTTAAATAGCCCTGTTAAAAGTGCAGTAAGCTGCAAGGACACAGAATGTCCTCTTTTCAGCACTGGAAGGTGTGCAATAAATTAGAACTGGCATTTTACACTGACTAAGAGCAAATGAAATTACTGTTTTGTTATATCAGTGTTGGGTTTTAGATAAATTAAGCAGTGGGGAAAGGAAACAATATTTCATGATTCAGATAATTAAAAATGTGTCATAGCGTATACCGGAGAGAAGGAAACAATTAAGGTTTTGGTTCTAATACAGATTCTTAATTTGCAGTCATAATGTTTTGGGTTTGTATGGTGATAGGACATTATGGTACAGCCCCAGTTGTCACTGCACCTGCTTACTTTCTCCCTGGGGTACATATTAGAAGGTAGTTCATACCAATTTCTCACTGAAGTCACAGATTCTTCGTAGGTTGTACCTTTTAATATCACTTTGAGAACAATTGCCCACCCTTTCACAACTGATGTTCCATCAGTGATAAAAGCAGAGAGAATGGTAGCACTGAATCTTTTACTGGTGGTTTTTCCTGCTGATGTTATGGCAGGTTATAAAAGGACAGAGAGTAGGTTTTAACTGTTGTCTCTAAAACAATACCATGTGTGGTTTGGTTTTGGTGACATTTGTATTTAAAGTGCGTTCACCACTAGTTCAGTTATCAGTGTAGTTTAGTTTGCAAAACAAAGCTTCTGTCTGAAATACGCTGACTGCAGCAGTGCTATTTTAATGCTTTAATAGTGTAATGTAAGGTTAATGCTTATTTAATGATACTTAGCTAATGACTTCATGGTAGCAGTGGTCATGTTGATGTCACTTTGCTAGAAAATTGTTTTACAATTCAAAACATTGCTTGATTTTGGGTTTTGCTAATGATCATCTTGCAACTGAGTGGAAACTAGTTGCTTGACTGGAAAAAAAAAACAGTAAGAATTGATTTAAAGATAATAAAGGAGAAGTTCCTTTTAAGCTTAGGTGCC